TAGGCATTCCCCGATGACTGTGTTAACTCTTGCACTCTCTGTCAGTCTATTCATTTCATCTATACAACCAAGCACACAGCAGCAATACTACAACTGCAAAGAAGCTGCACACCAAGAAGTGGCAACCTTCAAGCTCTACACTGTTTCTACTCATAATCACATTACCAAGATGCTGGCATGCATCGATGAGATGAAGCATGGTATTTAATTTTTCTTGTAAAATTTTTTATGGGATACTGTACAAGTACAGACCCCGGTTAGTCCCCTTGTGCCTTTATTTACCTCTCCCCTTCCACCCCCCACAAGAGGGTACAAGAGTCCGACCTGCACCAAGTCTTGTCATATTAGTCCTCTCTATTGCATTCCGCTCCGTGGGCCAGCCTGACCCAAATATGCCCAGGGTTTCTCGCACCACCTCCGACAGCGGGCAGAGGGGGATGCAGGCTCGCCTTCACTCACGGACCCTAGCCCAGGGCCCTAAGGACGCGGACCTGTTTAGGTCGAGTCCGTCTGGCGGGGCTTCCCGCCTTAACGCGCCAGCCCACGGGCTATAATGCCCTGCCCTGGGCTGCTTCCTCTCCCCTTACCTGGTCCGCCGACCAGTCAGTGCCGGGACGTCTGCCTCACCCCTGTCCCTTCTGGGTCTCGTCTGTGGTGTCTTGGGGCTCCCCCGGGAGGTGCGACCCCACGGTGCCTCCACCCCTTTTCCGGTCTGGCTCCCTCCTTGCTGTGAACGCCAGCTCCTTTTGAGTCCTGGCACTCTGGCATTGCATCACGCCAGGGCACCTCCCCCCCAGGGCTATGTATACACTGGCAGCTTCGTGCGCAAGAACATCTTGTGCAAGGGTTCTTGTGCAAGAAGTCTTGTGCAAGAAAATGTCCACACTGCCATGTGCGAGCTGTGCTTTTGCGCATGAGCACCCATGGCAGTGCGAATGCTCTCTTGCGCAAGAAAGCTCTGATAGCCATTTTAGCCATAGGGCTTTCTTGCACAAGCAATCCCTGCCGAGCATCCACACTGCCCTCTTGCGCAAGAGGGCTTACACCTGATAAAAAAAAAAAAAAGAGTGTAGCTCTTCAGCAAGAAGCCCTCTCTTACCACGCCATGTAAATTTTCTTGCACAAGAGCGGGCAGGCAGTGTGGACGCTCTGCGGATACTTGCGCAAGAAGCCGTGAGTGTAGACATAGCTCAGCTGTTTCGTGGTGTGAGAGCATGCCGCACAAGCTCTGTCCACGCTGTGCCCCCAGCCCCGCTTGGCCAGGGCTGGGGAGTTTAAAATGCGGTGTAGCAGTGTTTTGCCTGGCGCGGCACGCGGGCGCACAACACCTACTCTCCCCGCATCCCAGTGCTGGGGGACTTGAAGTGCAGGGCTGCAGTGCCCCATCACAGATACCAAAATGCTTTTGTAATTTAAGGTATCAAACAAGTTGTTCCTGTTAAATATCACACTGTTTAAACTAAGTACTCAAGGAAAGAAGACATAAGCTAATCCTGGTAAATGGAGAGAAACAGTGGAACTTAATTTGAATTTAAAAGTTTCTTAATAGTCTAATTTGCCAGTCTCAGGACCACTTCTTAAATGGCATTAAGTAGGTGAATTTAAATACTTTTTTTTCTTGTTTCAGAAGATTTAGTTAAGATGACACACTTTTTGCTCATATATAAATTGTTTAATCATAGTAAATTAAATATGATTCTCCAATCCTTACACAAAGCCACACATTTACAAGCCATTTTAATGATCAATGAGACACTACCAGTGGACTCTACTAATATGGGAAACAATATACTTTGATCTTATCTTATGTAAAGAAGAGTGTTCCTACTCTTAAGTTGCAATCTCCATTAAAAATTCTTCACAAATACAGAAGAGGCTGCAACTGAAGTGAAACATTTTATTGCTTATGTTCTGTTTTGGTTCGGTTTTCTTTTATTTTTCTCCCTTTTCCTTTCATTAGTAATACATTAATAATTGTGTTTAATAATAATTACAATTAACTAGTTAATAATTGTGATTATTTTGCTCATTTTTAGTTGTACTATCCCTAAAGCATAGCAAGAATTTCATTTAACTAAAATAATGAGAGTCACATTTGTGAAACAGCATTACAAGAAACAATTTTTCTTGTGCTCAAGATTACAAATTTTTAAGCACAATGATTAGTCCTGCGGCACTTTGGAGATTAACATAAATGTATATAGTATCATGAGCTTTCATGAGCAAAACCCACTTTTTCGGATGAGCTGGAAGCTGGAGTGGAAACAACAGAAACCCACAATTAATAATAGAAAAAGAAGGGAAGGGGAAAAAAAAGTTACCTTTCAATTGTAGTCCCAGTGCTAATAAGGCAAAATGAGTGGACTAGAAGTGCCCCATACTTAGCTTTTGATGTAAATGAGGTGTTAAATGTAAAGTTACTTGTTAAACTCAATACCACAAAACATCCCTTTCCACCACATAAAAGTTTGTTCTTCAGGAATGCATCCTGACTGATGCTATGTTGTCTGATGGCAGTGTGGTGATTGTGATAAGTGGACCAACATGAAACACAGGGGTGGGATAAAGCCATAAGATTATAAACAGAGCCTATTCAAATGGTCTGTAAGATTCAAACACCCATGTTTTCCTTCTTTCCTCAATTCGTCTTTTAAATGTCCCCGTATTAGACCACCTTCCTTCAGAATAAGTTGAGCTGGACCACAACTCCCTTCAGAATCTATCCTCTCTGACCATGAAATCTTGAGGAGAAGAGGGTAGGATTTTGCACAGCAACACAGAGGCTGTCTCTGAACCACTCCCAGCCTCTCCTAAAAAGAAAAGGTCTAGCTTGAGTATTGAATTTAGATTGCCCATGATGCAACACATGTGGCCCACCAGACTGATGTAAAATACATGCATTGTAAAAACTCCATGAAAAAGTCTGGGGATAGAAGCAGCAGAGCTGGAAGTAGGATAACAACATGATCAAGACTGTATCTCATTTAAAATGCGTAGGAAAAGAGTTTTATATCAAGAACATAATTTCTAATATAACATAAGAACATAAGATAAAACTTTTTAAAAAACCAATGGTCCTGCAGCACCTTTGAGACTAACAAAAAATGTAGATGGCATCATGAGCTTTCATGGGCACAACCCATTTCTTCAGATGAAGAAGAGAGATCTCGAAGGTGTTGCAGGACCATTCGATGTTTTTTAAGTTTTTTCAGTTACACACTAACACAGCTACCCACCCCCCTCTGACACATAAGAACGGCCATATTGGGTCAGACCAAAGGTCTAAATGGACCAGTATCCTATCTTCTGACAGTGGCCAATGCCAGATGCCCCAAAGAAAGTCAACACAACAGGGAATCGTCAAGTGATCCCCTTCCTGACATCCACTTCCAGTCCCTGACAAACAGAGACTAGGGACACCATTCTTACCAATCTTGGCTAATAGCCATTGATGGACCCAACTCCATGAATGTATCTAGTTCTTTTCACATCCCTGTTAAAGTCCTGGTCTTCACTACACTCTCTGGCAAGGAGTTCCACAGGCCAATTGTGTGCTATATGAAGAAAAAATTCCTTTTCTTTGTTTCAAACCTGCTACCTATGCATTTCATTTGGTGATCCCTACTTCTTATGGGAACAAGTAAATAACATTTCCTTATTTACTTTCTCCATACTTGTCATGATTTTATAGACCTCTACCATAATCTCCCCTCCCCTTAGTCTCCTCTTTTCTAAGATGAAAACTCCCAGTCTTTTTAATCTGTCTTCATATGGGACCTGTTCCAAACCCCTAATCATCTTTGTTGCCCTTTTCTGAACCTTTTCCAATGCCAATATATCTTTTTTGAGATGAGGCATCCACATCTATATGCAGTAATCAAGATGTGGACTTACCATGGATTTATATAGAGGCAATAAGATGTTCCCTGTCTTATTCTCTATTCCTTTTTTAATGTTTCCTAACATTCTGTTTGCTTTTTTGACTGCTGCTGCACACTGAGTGGATGTTTTGAGAGAATTATACTCCAAGAGCTCTCTCGAGTGGTTATAGCTAAATTAATCCCCATCATTTTGTATTTGTACTTGGGATTATTTTTTCTAATGTGCTTTACTTTACATTTATTAACATTACAATTCAGTTGCCATTTTGTTGCTCAGTCACTTGGTTTTGTGAGATCCTTCTGAAGCTCTTCACAGGCTGCTGTGTTCTTAACCATCTTGAGCAGTTTGGTATCATCAGCAAATTTTGCCATCTCATTGTTTACCCCTTTCTCCAGATCATTTATAAATAGGTTGAATAGGATTAGTCCCAGTACAGACCCTTGTGAGACACCACTAGTTACCTCTCTTTCTCTCTCCATTCTGAAAACTGACCATTTATTCCTACTCTTAGTTTCTTGCCTTTAAACTGTTTTCAGTCCATAAGCGGACCTTTCCTCTTCTCCCAAGTCAATTTACTTTACTTAAGAGCCTTTGGTGAGGGATCTTGTCAAAGGCTTTCTGGAAATCTACGTATGCTATATCCACTAGATCCCCCTTGTCCACATGCGTATTCTACACTACACACACACAACCAAGCTGGATCAGACTATTAGTCACTCACATCATCCACTACTGTATTATGACTCTGGTACAGATTTACATACGATGTGTCCAAAAAACCCTCCCATTATCCCTGCATTAATGTATCCACTTAAATGTGAAATGATAGGTAAGGGGCTCCTTTCTGCCCCATGTTCACCAGTCTATATTTTACAGTGCAAGGCTGGTTATCCTTCACTGTATTAAATATTTTTTTCGAGTTAGAAAACTAAGAGAAATTAGATACGTTCATGAATGTGTCTGAGAGGAAAGGGCTCTGACAATGCCCAATCACAGCAGCCAAATAACATTTCTTGTACTGAACATATGGCACTGCAATTGGTTTAAGCAACAGCATTTTCAAATTTCTGATCTTTCAATTGGAAAAGGTAATAAATATAAACAGGACTTTTCCTTACCTCATCAGAAGATCCATTTTCCACCCGGAAACGTCCAGCTCTTTGAATGGCTCCATCAGCATCACTAGATATAAGCTGTGAAAAAAGAGTTAATATAAGAGATGCAAGTTGACTTCAAAAATCTCCACCTAATCAGCAATTAAACAATAAAACCAGCTCAATTTAGCTTTCACCATCTCAGCCAGAGTTATATAACACCTCTTTCCCCTCTATATCCCTCCTCCCTGAAGATAAACTCAGCTCAGAATAATAATTATCAAGTTGAGCAACAAACGATTACTTCCAGAAGAAATTAACTCATTGTAGCTATAAGGACTCAGGCAGTGAAGGGGCTCTTGTGGTCACCTGCAGAAGTAGCTACCCACTATAAATCACAAGGTTTTTTTGGTCTTAAATCTTGGCAATATTGACATGCAAGTTGCTACTGAGGGGCCCCAACTATGAAAAATGCAGTTCCGTTAACTATTTATCAGAAGGCAGACAGTTTTACACAGATAGAGATCACTAAGCTGCCTGAACTATGTAACATGCATACTACCACAAGAGGAAGGAGCAGGGCACTATGCAACGGGCCCGTGTTTAATCTTTTTAATATTTCTGAAAGTTTGTGTGTTTGTTTGTCCCAAAAGATCTACGAAACGGTAAGAGCTAGAAACACCAAATTTTGCACAGATACTACTGATTTCCTAACTTCAATAACTGGATTGGTTATATCTCAAAATCAGTTTCCCTGGTTTTCTCAGAGCCCTAATTGGGCCCACTGATAATTAGCTTTTTAGTAGTGCCTGATCATAGGCATTTGCTGGACTCCTCTGTTAAGCGTGTCACATAATTATGAGATACTAGAGGATAAAGCATGTAGGCACCAACAGCACCATCAAGGGAAAGCCCATGGGGGAGAGGCTGCAGTGGGGCTGAGAATCCGCAACCTCCCCTATAACAGGGCACCAGCAGGTCTCCAGGACAGACCCAAATGTGGCTGGGGGAAGCCTCCAGCTATCACAGCCTCTCAACATCTTCATGCAGCCGGGCTCCGACTGAACCCCTTCTGGAAATTAAAGTTGCTTCTTTCCCCCCAACGCCCAAATGAGCCATCGCACCACTCGCCCTCCTTTGGGCTGTGTGCATTCTCCTGGCAGGGCTGTGTGCATTATCAGCAAGTGCCACGGGCATTATGCACTTTGCAGGATTCAGCTCACAGTACAAAGAGGAGGTGGACAGGAGAACAAGGTTTTGAGCACAGTGGAGCCTGAGGAGGACACAGTACACTCAGAACAGCCTATTTTCATTAGAACAGGTACGTTCAGGTGCTGCATGTTCTCATCAGCTAGATATCACTCATTGCACCTGGTCTGAGGGTGTTTTGCTTTGTCTGATCAATACAACCAGTTCAACTGCCGCTAGGAAGTCCATTCAGGTTGCCCCATGGATCGTGAACTGAAGGCACTCAGAGGGCAATGATTTGCTGCTGCTGCAGCGCCCAGAAGCCATCCCATCCATTTCTCAGGGCTTCTGGCAAGGAGGCTGCAGGCATTGGTTTGCATAGAATCTTTAAGGGAAGATGGGCTGTGAGAAAAGAGACCCTATGAGATCTGTCATTTTGTAAGCACATCACTAGCTATGTTAATTTCTTAAAGTAATATATAAGAGAAAAGTATTTCCAATAAAATATGCTATGTTAATGTAATTGATGTAGTTCATTCATCACATCTTTTACTATATTTTCCCCAGGCAGCACCAGGTATTTTTGCTAGTTTTTGATAAAGCAATCACAATATTTGGCATTGTTTAGCAGACCAGAGAGACGGGGAGCAAAGCCTCGGAGGACGCCGGCAGCGGGACAGCCGCGGCGCGTCTGGGCTGTCCCGCTGCCCGCGTG